TCCTTTCTAATATTAGCATTTGATGCTATACATTTTGCTCTAAGCGATACCTTAGGTGCATTCCACAAATTTAAAAAGTTACATATTCTCATTATCACTCAATGGAGCATATTTTCTAAATTTCTTTGTAAGTAATTCTTTGAACTATGGGTTATTCAGAAGCATGTCATTTAATTTTCTAATCTTCCAGGTATCTGTTATTAATTTCTACTTTAATTTTGTTGAGGCCACAGAACATACCCAATATGATTTTAATCCTTCCAAATGTATTACATTTTGTTTTATGGCCCATTATTTGGTTTGTCCTATTGAATATTCCAAATGTACTTGAAGAGAATGTTTATTCTGATGCTTTTTGGTGTAGCAATCTATAAATGTCAATTATATTAAGCTCATCATTGATAGTGTTGCTGAAGTCTTCAATAGCTTTACTGCTTTTTGGCATACTTGTTTTATAAGCCAGGGGTACTCTTTAATACCTTTTTTCATCTAATCTTTTTCCTTAAATTTACTCCATCTGATATTAATGTCCACTCCAATCTTCCCAATTAGTATTTCTAATAGTATATATTTTCCCATTCTTTTACTTTTAATTTTTTTTAATTTTTGCACATATTTGTACCTGTTATTTAAAATTTTTTATTTACTTACTTTTTGAAATGTGGTCTTGATAGGTGGCCCAGGCTTGAGTGCAGTAGCTATTAACAGGCATGATCACAGTGCAATGCAGTCTCTAACTCCTGGTCTCAAATGATCCCCCTACTTCAGCCTACCAACTAGCTGGGATTACAGGCGCATACCACCATGCCTGGCTTGTAACTGTTATTTTTAAACTCCTTAATGCTTAGTTCTATTTCAGTCATTTCTGGGTTTATTTCTTTCTTTTCTTTCTTCTTTTTCAAGAGAGTTTCGCTTGTTGCCCAGGCTGGAGTGCAATGGCATCATTTTGGCTCACTGCAACCTCCGCCTCTTCTGGGTCTATTTCTATTGACTGGCTTTTCTTCTGGTTTTGTGTCACATTTTCCCACTGCTTTGTTAGAATTTTTGATTGAGTGACAAATACTCTGTATGCCACACTGCTGGGTATCTGGATTTTGATGTCTTCCTTTAAAGAGTGTTGAGCTGGCCGGGCGCAGTGGCTCAAACCTGTAATCCCAGCACTTTGGGAGGCCGAGACGGGCGGATCACGAAGTCAGGAGATCGAGACCATCCTGGCTAACACGGTGAAACCCCGTCTCTAC